CTTCTCCAGCCGCCTTCGCCCCTCCCTATTGTACATTCCAATAGCGCTTTGCTGTGGTTTGTGTTAGAACTCCGATCACATTGAACGGCAATTATCTGCCCACAAGGCTGTCTCCCTCACCAGACGGAGCTCCTGGAAGACAGGGGCTGAAGCCACCTCATCTCTCAACTTGTCCACTTATGCCTAAATACACAGTGTAGTTCTTGGTCCAGTAGCACTGGGCACCATCTGTCATTGACCTTCACTTGGAGAAGGCTTGCTAGTGGCCCAGCTGCCGTGTAGCTCATCACAGGAGACTGGCTCGGCATGGATGTGGCTGGAGGAGGCTGGATCTTCAGAGCCAGTAGCAGCTTCTCGTGACGTCAGCACGGAGGGGATGTGGTGACAGATAAGACTGTGAAGACACTGGATCCCACTGGCCGACACTGTCTCTACCAGGAGTTCACTAGCTCTCTACTTGGCCAATTGGCATTCAGCAAACCTCCTCAGATCTCATCCCGCCGAGAGGCAGAGGGGACCAGCGACTGCCATCAGGACCTCTCCAACGAGAAGCCAGGGAGCCGAGGGCAGATTCCCAATCACAGGAGTCACTGAGCATTCAGGGGATATGGGGCCAAGCTGGCATTGGGACCAGGGATTCATGGCAATGAAGTCTGAGGGAGATAGGACTCCTGGGGCCCCATAAGTAAAGAAGAAAAGATAGAAAGAGGTGAGGAGAAGGGGCACAGTAAGAGGAGGCGGGAGCAAAGAACCCCAGGGAAGAGGCAAGTAGGCATCAAAGGAAGCCAAGCACAAGGCTCTGGGCAGCAAAGTAACATCCGGAAAGCAAACGCGAGGTGGGTGACCTTTGTCACTGTTAGCTGCTGGTGAGCCACCTCGGACGGCTGGAGGCCTCGTGTACGGCAGAAACGGATGTTGCTCAGTTTTGTGGCATCGTCACAATCATTGGTGCGCCTTCGAGCCGAGGGGCCCGTCTTCAGCGCTGAACCGCACGATATGTTGTGGTGATCTTTTGCTAAGTGGATTGCCAGGCCTTCCTTCCTGGTCGCTCTGAGTCCAGAAGCTCCGCTGAACCCTGTCCGCCATGGGGGGCTCTGCTGGGGTTTGACAACCCGTGTCCTCCTCCGGTTCTCGGCCCGTATCTCTGTTCTGATCCAGCCTAAGCTTAGTCTCCTGTGCTCTCTTCTGCATGAAGGGCGCCCCAGTGAAGGTCCAAGTATGTCCTTGTTTCCCATCAGAGTTTTTTTGAACTCGGAAGAATAGGTCCAAAGGGCAGTACCACAGTGAGCCCCCAACTCCACTGTCTGCTCTGTCAGCGGGGCCGCTGGCAGAGCTCCGTGGGTAGGCTGTGGCTCCTGCCTGGAGCCTTGCAAGGGTGGAAGGCCCCGCATGCCCCGTCGCTTGCTGAATGCCTGTGCAGTGCATGATGGGTGGAATGCTCTAAAAACAATGCATGCCAACATGCCAGACTTTGTATTGTGTCTTTAAGACAAAATGACTTTGCAGACTCACCGAGCTCTCTTCCTCACAGGAGGTGTGCCCCTTGATGGTCGCGGCCTTGTGGAGTTATTTCTTGGATAACCAAACAGTGCCTCGTGCCTGTAGAAAGCAGCACGGTGCAGCCCTGGGTAAAAGTCAGGGGAGCCCAGGTTGCTAGGTCGGGCTCTGCCACTCAGTCTCATCTGTAGAGTGGGGGTCACCGCACCCACCTAGCTCCCAGGGTTGCTGTGAGGATCGAAGCCCAGGGTACATAGGTCCCCACATGGGCTGGTACTTCACAGCTGACTGGTGATTTTGACAGCCACTTTTTCCATCGATCCTCTCAGTGACCCTGCCCGCTCTTTGGATCCTCATTTTACAGATGAAGGAACTGAAGCTCAAAGAGGAGAAGTGACTTGGCCAAAGCCACATAGCTGCTAACGGTGAAGCCAGGGTCATGCAGAGTTTCTGTTCTCAAATTCATCTTCGAGTATCCCTGGACACGAACCTGGCTACTCAGTGCTATTGGCTTCTTGGCTCCTGTTCCTTAACTTCCCTCACGACTCCTCTTCCCTAAAACCTCGGCAGGTGCTCTGTGTGATGAATTAACCTGCTTTTGTTTTGTTCCTCCCTTCTCCCCTACTTTTTCTGGCCTCTAGAAGAAAACACCAGCAGCCCCGACGAAGAAAAGCAGCACTACGTTCAACATCGTGGGGACCACCTATCCCATCAGCCTGGCCAAGGATACTGAGTTCCCCACCATCTCCAAGGCTGCCACTCCCAGTGCTTCCTCAACCCCGACTATCATTGCTTCCCCCAAGGCCACCTATGTACCGGAAACCCCCACTGAAACTAAGACCTACAACAGTGTCAGCAAGGTTGACAAAATTTCCCGCATTATCTTTCCTGTGCTCTTTGCCATATTCAATCTGGTCTATTGGGCTACGTATGTCAACCGGGAGTCAGCTATCAAGGGCATGATCCGCAAACAGTAGATAGTGGTGGCAGCCCAGCAACCAGAGCACTGTCTTCCCTGTGAAGCATTCAGGCACCCAACCCCAGGGCTCCCCGTCATGTGTTTCAAGGTTGCTTGTTCTTTTTAACCCTCCACCAAGCTGTGACGCTCAAATGTATTTATGGATCTTAATGGAAAAAAACCTAATACCGCAAAGGGAGCATCCCTGTACCGTTGCTGAGTTTGCCCCCAGCAGAGCCAGACACTGCCATTTCTCCAGTTGCTCATCTTAGTCTGCCAGCCTCCCCCAGTGAGGGCACTGCATGTATCTCATTGCACTCTGCCCACTGTGGAAAGAACAGGATACCCCACTCCCTGGAGTGGGCCCTTGGCTGCTCAACGGGTCCAGATTGAGGAGAATTGTTGATTGGTCCACATCAGATGCTGCTGACTCACTAGGGAGCCAGGCTGGGCTCTTCCCTGGAGGCCTGCCTGCCATGTCCTCTGTCTAAAGCAGGGCCACTAGGTGTATGTGCTGATGGTGCAGACAGGAGCCAGTGCTAACCTCTGAATATGGCCCCCAACTTGATTAGTGACTTGGAGGTTAGTGGGTACAGTGGAGAGCCACCACTGGCCACCATGTATGACCACAACAGAGCTAACTGGACCAGGCTGGCACCAAGCTGAATGGTGCCCTGCTATGTCCAGCCCCAGAGGAAAAGAGCCCTCCTTGGTATATCTCTCCTCCAGGAAAGGCCTCGGCCCTCAATCTCTTTGCCTCCCTTGTAGCCAACTGAGCACTGTCTAATTTAGACTCATTGCCACCTGCCCCAAGCAATTTTATTATTAATGTCATTTAAACAACAACAAAAAGGGACAAAGAGAGAAAAATCCAGATCAAATGCTTACATGAGAATTTTAAAATGGATGAGATAGGAAAGTCACCTCCCTACCAGGGCAGCTAGTCAAAATACTAAAAGGGGCAAGATGTTTGTGGCTGGGGTGGTAGTTAGGGTTGGACGTCTGGCTCAAAAGATAGGGCTACTGGCAGGCGAAAGTCAAAAGCGTCGCTTCACACCTGCCACACCCCAAAGCCTAGACCAGGCCCAGGCACTTCGCTCCCACTGTTTCTGAAACGTCTGGTCCTCTGTTGATGCTGATTCTAGTAAGGATGAATTGGAGATCCATATCAATATCTCTAGTTGATTTTTGAGTCAACGAAATCATTCAACTTTATTATCAGTTTTGTAATAAGTTATTTACAAGCCAGTTGATCTCATTTATTCTCAATGTGAGTAAAAGGCACAGGCATAATTAGAAAGCTTTTATAAGGTAGATGAGCCGATTCCTGACGTTTGAATGACTTGCCAAGGCTCTTTACAACTGCACTCGAGAAGTATTATGCACCCCTGCCAACAGCCGAAATGAAGGCCGAACTGAGCATCCAGGGCCACCTTGACGTCAGGATTAGCACAATCTCACGGGGCCTGCTGGGTCCTGAGTGCAGTTAGATTGGACACCAAAAAGGGTTTTAGAAAGTCACACTCTGTCACTCAGTGAGACCACTTCTCATAGTTATGGCTCAAGTGTTTAAGATGGCAGCCCAGCCACTTTGGATCTGAATACCTACACTAGCTCAGAGTGGCCCAGAAACCCGAGGTCAAGCACAGATGGCACCCCAAGCAGATGCTCCCTCCTCACCTCCTGAATAAAGCTTCCAAGGGGTCTATCACTAGCTGCTGGTTGCCTTTTCATCCATCCTCCCCCATCCCCTGCTTCCTTGCCATTGCTGGGATGATGCATGCTAGTCCCGCTCTTCCTAAGACTGTGTCTGTAGGTAACTTCACAAATAGAAGAGTATAGTCTTGTGGATATGTGGGGATGGGGGGGTGGGATGGGGGGGGCTCTTCATGATTGTCCTAAGAAATTTAGAGTGGAAGCCTGACCTTTGCCTCTCTGTAGAAATTGTGTTTCCAAATGCTTTGGTGCAATGTTTAGCGGCTGTTTATTAAACTCTTTCTGAATTGTCATTGGGCTGGAGAACTCTCTTTGACTGCGCTTTACCTAACAAACTCCCAGGTGTACTGTGCCCTTGGCTCTCACCCCCATTCTCGTTCCACCACTGCTTTCCATTCCTTAGCACCATAAGAATCAACTCCAAGAAAAGTATCTCCAGAGCAGAGACCTGTTCCAATGACGCAGAATAGGACCAGTGGGAAAACACAGCTTTGTGGACTCAGGGCCCTCAGCACCTAAAGTAGCAGAGAAGGAAACAGCTCTGCTTCCTGTGCTGAACCCACCCACTCCCAGAAAATACAGAAAGGCATTTCCATTGGAATGCTAAAGGCTTTCTCTTTTCCATCAATTACTCTTTCCCTTAGGCTGTACTTGCCTTGTTGTCGTTGTTAGGTGCCTTGGAGTTGGCTCCAACTCATAGCGACCCTAGTACAACAGAAAGAAACACCGCCTGGCCCTGTGCCAGCCTCACAATCCTTGCTGTGTTTGAGCCCTTTGTAATGTTTGCGACTGTTTCTCCCCATTTTGAATTGTGCCCCATCAGCAAATGGAGGTCCCAAAAGCTTTATTCCATCCACGTCATTAAGGTCGACTCTACTTTAAAGAGGCAGCTCTTCCCCAGTCATATTTTGAGTGTCTTCCAACCCGAGGGGCTTATCTTCCGGCACTGTATCAGACGATGTTTTGCTGCTATTCATAAGGTTTTCAGTGGCCAGTTTTTTTTTTTTTTTTTCGGAAATGCATGGCCCCATCCTTTTTCCCAGTCTGTCTTAGTCTGGAAACTCCACTGAAACCTGTCCACCATGAGTGACCCTGCTGGTGTTTGAAATACCGGTGACACAGCCTCCACCCTCACAGCAACACACAAGCCACCACAGTACAACAGACTGACAGAGGAGTGGTGGGTAGTTTCCTTAGACAATAATTATTAGACAGAGTGGAAGTATGTGTCTGGTTGTTTCAACCATGTCTTAGGAAATGGACGACGGCCTCACATCTCCTACAGAGTAAGAACAAATCTTGGAAATAATCTCATGAGCTCTGCTCCTGAGGGATGGGAAGAACCTCCTTGGGAAAGCATTTCACACCACATGAAAGGTTTTCTTGTCTGTAACAGATACAGAGACTTGGACAATCTGACCCTAGAGACCTGTCCCCCACCCCTGTGATCATTTGATGGATGCCCTGCTGCTACAGCAATACTGCAGTCCCTTTCCAGTTCAGCCACACCCCAGAGTAGTCATATTAGGCAAGGTGGCAGCCTCCCAGGGTTGTTTCCTTAAGAACCTTCTGAAATGGCTTTGACCCTAAAAACCATTCCCCTAGTCTTAGGAGAAAGCTCAAACTGTTCCCATCAGGACTTCTGTACCTAGGCCCCTAGAGTTTGAAGCCTTGCTCCAGGCCGGGCCCAGTACCTCTGAACTCCAGTATATTATGGTTTTTAATGCATGAGGGAGGAGATCCCTAGAAGTTAATTGAGGGTTCCAGTCCAGAGGGTGCCAGTAGAGTAGCTAGTACATAAACCAAAACCAAAAACCAAACTCACTGCTGTCAAGTCAGATCCAACTCACAGCGACCCCTCCTTGGGTTTCCTCCTTATTATAGTATCTATACAGAAGTAGATTGCCCAACCTTCCTTCTGAGGAGTGGCTGGTGGGTTTGAACCACCAGCTTTCTGGTTAGCAGTCAAATGCCTTAGGCACTATGCCACCAGAGCTCGATATTTCTTGAATATTGAATGCTATTATAGATCAGGGATATGTGGGAGAAGATTTCTTCAGAGTGCTGTTGGAGAGGAGACTAGCCAAACCGTGATCAAAGGATATGAATGGAAAGAAACAGATGGCCGACTGAGCCCTCTAAAGCAGCTCCCAGAGCATGCTGGTACTAATAAGTGTGCTTTGCTTCAAGTAATTTTAAATAGCTTTCTCCTTGTCCTTTGGGCTTTTGAATCTGGAGGGTTCATTTAATGAACTACTAGTGATTCCTAATAATCTTCTTAGTGATAGAGTATTGAGGACAGGAGAGAAAGGCTTACCTGGGCATCAGTCTCCAAGCATAGCCCCCGGGCACATCCAGAGTGCATCTAGGTTGGGACACCCTTTGGAGGGCTCCCAAGTCTGGGCTTGGGAAGGAGACCCTCTGGAACTCCTCTGAATCCTTGAAAGATGTTCAGCAGGAGATGGAAGGAGTGGGTGGTAAGATGGAACAGGAAAGAAGCAATTGGGGGAATTTCTGTCAGTGGTCCTACAATTGGGGGCAGGGATTTCCTTTCTTGAGCCTCAATAGCTTCTAATTACACAAGGTCTCCTTAGCCTGGGGACACTGATCATGTGACCATCTACAGGGGTGAGGCTAAAGGCACCTGCCCTAGTTGACCTGAGCAAGCTGCTCCGGGCCTCCCGCCTTCCCAGACTACTTCCTAGTTCTGTCAGGGGACAACCTGGGTCTGTTCTGCCAACAATGTGATACTGTCGGAAAAGCACCAAGACTGGACACCTGGACTTTACCCAGGGCTCAATCCCATCACAGTCGTGTGATATTGGGCAAATGCCTCCCCTGGTCTGAGACTTGGTTTCCCCATTGGTAATCCAGAGCACTGATCAGAACCACTCGACCCCAAGTGTCCTGGGTCATCCCTACCATTTGCTTCTGCTCTCACCCCACCCCACCACAGGAGCATAAAACCCATCCTTTGGTTGCCCGTAACACAACTCAGATGGGTTGGCAACTTCCAAAACATTGATTAAACACCAAACTGTCTTAATTACGAAGCCTCTCTTAATTACCTACTGTTGCTATAACAAAAATATCAGAAAGCGCTGGCTTTAAAGAACAGAAATTTACTGTCTCACAGTTCTAGAGGCTTGAAGGCTGATTTTGTGGCATGGCTCTTGAGGGAAATCCTTCTTTGTCTGTTTCAGAATCTTGTAGCTGCCAGTCATCCTTGGAGTTCCTTAGTGGTCCTTGGCATCCCTTGATGTTCCTTGGTGTCTGTCTTCCCCCGTGTGCGTGTGCGTGTCTCTGGATTTGTTTTGCTCAGAAGTGATTAGGTTTAGGAGCCACCCTACGCTGCTAGGGTCTCATTAACATAACAAC